ATGTCATGTAATAACATTGTTTTATTATAAAAAGGAAAAGACCTCTGTAAAATTTCATATCTCACTACTAAAGGAAGATTTTTATTTTTTTAAATTGCTTATCTTTTTGAAGGTTTTGAAACTTTATCCCTTCTCTTGAAAATATTATTTTTACAAATCAATTTTCTATAAATAGATCAAACAAGCTTTTTTTTCAAAGATATCATCTGGACATAGTTAAAAATTATATGAAAAAACAAATAAATGAAATAATATTCTATGTTAAAATAAAAAGAAAAATCAATTTCACACAACTGCAGCCTCCCCGAGAGCGAGAACAATAGGGACAGTAATTATCAGTAAATGTCAGCAATTGTCTAAGTTTTTCAGCAGGGACAGTAAACGGGTCTGTAATTGTCTAAGTTTATCAGCACCGACTAAGATTGTCAGCACTTTTCTAAGTTTATCAGTACCGGCAGTAAAAAGGTCAGTAATTGTCTAAGTTTTACAGTAACGACAGCACATTGTCAGTAATTTTCTAAGTTTGTAAAAAATGGGAATGTCAGTACGTTTTTGACTTAGTAGTGCATATACACTGTAGACCCGTAATTTAATAAATGTTTTATTGACCTCCCTACCAAATAATAAATGGGAAGAACAATCCAATTCAAATCTTGTGACCAGTCGAACGCAAATGCGTCGACGCCGCTTGTTTCAGGGATCCAAAACCAAGATTTTTTTTTTTTTTAACATAGAAATTTTTTCAACTCGCAAAGATATCGCAAGTGTAAGGTCCCCAAACCCTAATGAAAAATGCACCAATATGATTGCTTATACCCCAGTCGACAAAGTCTGCTTCTACGTTTTGCTCTCGTAGAACCCGAACTACAGAAAAAGTGTATATAGTAAAAGCAAAAGATAATACATGTAAATCCAAATTCATGTTGCCGATCTGCGAAATTATAACAACGTTTTGATTGTCGGTGTATAAATATGTAGTTTTACAAATTTATTTTTCTAAAACACCACTAAAAATTTTCACTCGTGAACATTTCAACTGTTTTAAGTTCTCTAAAAATTGAACTTCGAACTCTCTCTGGTTCGTCCTACATAACATGAAAAACGTTCTTAGTCGAATCTAACATCACTCCATCCCATGCAAAATCACTAACATCAGTAAAAACAATGCGTTCCAGTATGCGATACCATGTGGAAATAACCCTGGCGGGAATATGTACACTGTAGGCTTTTTTTTTTTTTTTTTTTTTTTTGAACAAAAACTATAGCTCACATCAGACAGGAAATGAAATATTAATATTTTCATCCCAACATGATGAATTAGCAATAAGCATTGACAATCGTTTAATTGTTATCAGACAAACAGTCCCAAATGCAAACTTCAACGAAATAATACTGAATACTATTGAAGCGAGATCTCTAGCAGATTTTTTTTTTTTTTTTTTTTTTTTACACAAAACTTTCTAATTTATGTTGAGGGATATCAATACAACCGACTTCTAAATTCCACTCGAAACCGAGCCACTCTAACTTGTGCACTGAGCTCCAAACGCTCTTACATGTAGCATCATTAATAAGAAAACCAGCATGCAACAAATCTTTTTGAATATTCTGTAAAATTAAAATACAATTTTGTTTGATTTCAAACCCAGTTATCGTCTAAATACATTATAACTCCATATGCTTTTGCTCTCTCTAATACAATACTAATGGTCTTAATACTTTAGTAAAATATAAGCAGCACTGTTGAGACCGAAGGTTAGGACTGTGAATATGAAATAACGCTTTGAGCCATTGAAATTCCAGGAAAAATTTACATGATGATTTCCACTTGTTAAATAAGATTGACCATGAATAAACCTTTTTCGGCAAAATTGAAACCCTCTGAAGACCCATCGAATTTGAAAATCCTCTTAAACACGCATGCATTCACTTATCGAAGATCAACAACAAACCTTAGCTTTTTATTCAATGGCGCAGAAACGGTCAGTGGATTAACATAATGGGGCGGTTTAAATCATTCAATGGCTAACTCTTTTCTCAGCAATTCTAAAATGTACGTTTCAAAACAGGGGGGGGGGGGGGCTCTGCAATATTGATTTGTTGTTAGACAAAAATACAACTTCAGAATAGGATATAAATTTTTATACTATAACCAAATTTGATAACATTTAAAATATAATTGTCTGGTTTTATAGCATTCTTCCAAATTCAACAGATTTTTGTTTTTTGTTTTTTTTTTATTTTGTTTAAACGATCTTATACTGAAATGATTGAATTTGCATCAAACACTGTCAAAGTCAGATTTATAATCTAATAAATGACAATTATACTCAACTCTATTCTAAGCCTCGCAATCTCTCCTCGTTGAGCTGACACTGTTGTTTAATAAACTGACAGCGTCAATGACATCAAAATCCTGTCCAGAATTGGAATTTGTCTATGTACGTAGTTTTTGAGGAACATCTCTATTAGAAGTTGAACTTGAAGATAAAATTCTGTAGACTTGCCAAAGACACAAAACAACCTGCGATTCTTTGTAACGAACGTCGCATTAATCGAACATTCCCCGGTAAAAGTATTTATAATGAGCGCTAAATCGCTCGTGCATGAAAAACCAGTTTCTTTAGATACGAAGTTTCACGGAGAATACCGAAGTAAAACCGTAAAGAAATAAATATATGAGGGTTCTATAGACAACCGTTGTTTTGAAGGAACCCGATGTCATGCATTAATGATATTTCATACATAGATTAAACCAACGTTTAAACACTGCATGTATCTAATAGATTCATGGACAAATATGTAGTAATTATAATATAAGTCGAATTGGGACCATGATTGGAAATAAATTCTATTCTTTTTTATCATATATAAAATTATGAAATAAAATGATACAAATGTGCATTATTTTTATAAATAGGAAATTCCACTGAACATTTTTTCCGTTATTTCCTGATCATGACAAGGAGCACACGGCGGGTGTGACCGGTCGGCAGGGGATGCTCACTCCTCCATGGCACCTGATCCCACCTCTGTTGTTTCGGGGTTCCGTGTTCGCTCTTCCCTTATTTTCTATTGTTTTATGGACTTTGAGATTAAATACTGTTCGTTATCTCCATATCCTTCTACTGCGAAAATTAGCCGGCTTTATGGATTCGAAATTTAAAAATTATATATACATGTACGAGGGTTGTCCCATAAAATCGTGGACAAAGCGTTTTTCTCGAAAGTAATTGGCGCACTAAGCTGGAATTTTCAGTAAATGTTTATTTATCATATTTAAGTGAATCATAATGTTTTTGCTAATATATATTCAAAAATAAAGATTTTATTCTGCTTGAATGTGCACAAGGTACGGTCCTACGGCGCACGGTAAAAATAGAAAGGTTATATTAGAGAAGACATTTGTAAGAATTAATTCGTAATAAAAGTTTACAATATATAAGATTAGGATGAAAATTATCTTAATTCGATACCTTAATCAATTCTGTTGTCTTTTTAAAAATTTCAAGGCATTTGGTTAATTTTTGGCAGTATCCCGATCATTCGAAATCGGAATGTGGTAAACACAATACACGAAAAATGGCTACTTTTGATGACGTTACGGCGCACCGGAGAGCAGTTCAGATAGATTAGGATGTTGTAATGACGCCTTAAGAGGCTTGAAATGAATACAGAAGAAAGGAAATATGAAAAATATCACCAGATCTTTAGTATATAAATGAAATGAAAGTTTTCTTAGCGAAGTCTTCGTGGTCGAGTCCCCAGATAGTACAAAACATATGGACAGACTGCTATTGTAATAGCAAAGGACGCTGTCACTGTCGACCGTCCATGTGAGATTCTCTTTTAGTTGAATGATGGTAAGAATACTGTCCGTAACTTGCTAATAAATATTCAGAAGATCGCATGAGTGTGCCACATTGGTTCCTTATCTGGTTATAGACACTCGCGTATGGAAATCAATAAAATTTCTAAATTTAAGTGGGGCTTATCCAACTTTAAGTTTAAATAACAAAGATGAAACGTGACGCTGTTTTAGACACTTTGAAGTTATCATCCGTGCGCCGTAGGGCGATACATTACAAAACATAAAATATCACAATTTGATTATTTATGCATATATCGATTTGAAATTTGGCATGTATATTCATAATGTATATACTAAGGAGTGGTGAAAATTTCAGAACGCAGTGATGATTATTTTTTAAACTGGACAACTTGTCCACGATTTTACGGGACAACCCTCGTATATGATATAAATTATACATTCATCTATCACAGGTGCTTGGGGACGGGACCCCCCCTCCCGTGTTCCGTACCCCTAAGGATTATTTGACTTTTTTTAGTAAAATATTTTTCTATGATATATTTTCAAAGTATTACAACTGAAAAATCCCAAAATCAAAGCTAAAACTAGCCCTTTTAAAAATTCACCCTCCCTGATACTATAACATAACATATATTATTATTATAGTATCAGGGAGGGTGAATTTATAAAAGGGCTAGTTTTAGCCTTGATTTTGGATTTTTCAGTTGTAATACTTTGAAAATATATCATAGAAAAATATTTTACTAAAAAAAAGTCAAATAATCCCTGGGGGTACGGAACACGGGAGGGGGGGGGGGTTCCCGTCCCCAAGCACCTGTGTCATCTATATACTCAGAAAAAAATAATTAATTAAAAGTAAACTTTAAAAAATGCCTACAAAATTATTTCAATATTTTTTTTATAAACTGATGGTCGGGGATTTACGGAGACAGTCGAATGTCTGGTTTGAACGAAACTTTTAAATGATACATGTAGTATCCACACTCCTGTCGTGGAAAAACAAATCGAGATCGAGATTCATAAAATAGAATCCCATCACTTTAATGGTATGAGCCTGAGCTGTGAGCATCCTGAAGTTCCTCTAAGAAGGCTACTTTATCTGATCAGCGTGTGCATGAATCATTCATAACTATTCCCTCTGTTATTCTGTGTGTTGGAGCAATTTGAAGGTTTTTCAACGGAAGGTGCGTGAACGAAATATTGACTGAGGTAGGGGGACCAGACAACCTTGGCTTGGAAATTTTTCATGGCAAATGTTGGTAGCTGTTCATCAACAAATAAATTTAATTGGAAGCAAATACTATTATTATTATTATAATTATTATCATTTAGTAAAATAATGCGAAGATGAATGCTAGATTTAGGTGAAATAACATGATTCTATTTTTAGTAAAGGGAATAACCCAAAAAACGCAGACACATACACGAGGAGCCTACCAGCCTCCTAAGAATCACTTTGTCATTTTGTTTTCAAGTTGCAGGTAAGAATAAATATTTTTTTTAAACAAAATATAATGAATTCACAGTATATTTTTAAATTTTATTGTGTGCATTCAGCAGTTCAGTTTGAAACAAAGCAAAAACTTGAGAATCATGTGTGGCGGTCAGCCGGGTTCAATCGCCAGTGGCCAGGTAGCTCAGTTAATAGAGCACATGCCCGTAGTTATAGGGGGCCCGGGTTCAAATCCCAGTATAGTCCGCTGCATTTTCTCCTCTCCCGTTACACATGTATAGCAATGCCTTACTTGTTTTTAACTTGGCACACTATTTTTATTCAGAGTCAGACTCACCACAGTAAGAAGACGGTGTTTGTGAGTGTTTAAGAAAGGGAGTTAGGAACAAGAGTGTTGGGAATTGATTTGGCATAATTAAGGAAACATGTTACAATATATTAAAATTTTCACAGGTAGTTTAATAAAGGCATATTGCAAATGTGACATCATCACAGTCATGAACATCTTGTTAAATTTATTAAGCATTTACTGCATGAATGATCTTTTTTTGCTTTATTCATGCAGGTTTAACTTTTGTTAAGAAATAGCAATTTTTGCTCAAAGTATTGAAATACTTGTTGTGCAAGACCTGAAAATTGGAAGATAGGAAATGATAGTGGTAATAGTCATTTGAGACTGTAAATTAGAAAAGCAATCTTTATCAAAATAAAATAGGAATTTAAATCTGTTAAATTGCCAAATGTACTTTTTTCTATTTATTTTTACCACATAGAGATATGGTGAAACCAGTTCAAGAGACCACTACAGCTGTAGTTTGTAGAATAGGCCAGGTGCAGGGTCAACAGAAGGATGAAAATTCCATTATTAATAATGGAAAGTTAATTATGAACCAATTTGATATAGAAGGAATAAAAGAATCTTTTCGTGTTGGTATGTAGTATGTTCCTGTCTTGGAAAATTAAATCTACCGGGTAGTTGCCACTCTGTCATTTTATTATACTCATCGGTCATATTTATCTTTAGTAAGAGAATACACGTACATATACCCCAATGCAAAAAGAAGAATCAGTTTAATTAATTTAAAAGCATAAGGTATGTTCAAACAATGAAGTCATTTAGAATTGTATAACATTAAGGCAACTGTCAAACCTCTTGGTTTTGTTGATAAGACCCTAATAGCATACATGTTCATAGTACAGGTATCTTACATGTAAATTGTATAGTACAGAATTTGTTTTTATTTGTTCTTGACTAAATTTCTTTGTGTATTTTTTTTTTCAGGGAAAAGTACAAGGCCTGTCAAGAGAAATGATTTTTGTATCTTTAACCAGAGTGATCCAAAAAGAGCATGTTCACAGAAAGATCTTCAAAAAACATCTTTGGGAGCTACACAGTTGCAAAGGCTTCCAAACAATATTGATACAGTTTGTAAGAAGCATTACATTTCTCTGGTATACTGTGAAATCACAAATATTTGTGGGGATGAGGGATAATTTTTCATTGTTTTTGAAGTGCATGTATTAAGAGACCCACGGATTCATGTCCACCATGAAATGTAAAATATTACTGAAATAACTACTCAACATTTCATCATCCACGAAATTAAGTATCCTCTCTGAGTTCAGTCCTTTCTTTTATTTCATATACAGTAATACTTGGTTATAACGAAGTCACTGAGACCTATGAATTACTTAGCTATATCCATATTTTGTTAAATCATATAACTGGGGATCCTAAAAAACTTTGCTGTAACAGTGAATTCACAATATTCATGTTTGTATTAAATGAGTTTTACTGTATGTTAATTGCTTTCATGATTGACTTTAGTTATTGATAAGTTCATTTTATTTATTTATTTCTCGGTGCAAAAATCGGGCTGAGGTAAGCGTTAAGGTGGAAGCTCATGTATGTATTATATATGTTTGAAGGGATTGATCATGATCTTAGAGATGTATGATTTAAGTTTAAATTTTGAAAAATTGACTTCCTTTGTGTTTATCAGATGGAAAAGAATACTGGAGAAGAGACTTTTTCTCTAAAGAACTCAACATGCTGGGCCTGAATTGGAAACAAAGACGTTTTACGCTGGGATCATACATGCTAAAATTTTTCTTGAGTATTTTACATTTGTATTCCCTTTCATATATTATTCAATTATACTGTAATTATGCACTGGCTAAATAAAGCTTTCTAGTAAAGGGAGCTACTAGAGGTAGATTATTGTAAATCATAAACTTTTTTCTTTAAGTTTCATAAACCCTTTGCTCATTCATACAAAATGTTGCTTGAACTTTAATGATTTTCCAAAAAAAAAAAATGTATTTTATAAGTAAAATAACAACAATTGTAGCATAGCTTACAGGGCAAAATTGGACAAAATAAAGACACTTTAATTGGCAAATCTATAAAGGAATATGATAGAAATTAATGTCATTAAGAGTTATCTCTCTTATCGGAGTATCAATGAACTTTAATACTTGTGTGTTAAAATATTTTGACAGTGCACAATTACTGTAGAATTATATTTTTTAAGTTTTTAAAAACTAGTAAAATATAATTTATGGAATAACAAATGAATATAGTATTACATATATGTACAAAAATGTAATATGAAAACTTAACCAAGAATTTGAAAATGGACTTCTTACATGGATGATGAGGAAAATACACTTGTAACTGAAAGATGAATTTGCAGGTAAAATTGAAAAGTAGAAATAAATATTTTGAATCTTTTAAAATGATAAAATTTGAAATTATGTTATCTTCTCTGCATTTATACATCTATTATGATGATGATTTCTTTCAGGTGTATGGAAGTCGGGTTTCATCCAGCTACATGTAGGTGGAATCAAATGGAAGAGAAAACATTTTTTCTGCTGGATTCTGATACTTATGGTAATGATAAAATCAGATTAAAAAGGGAAAAATTCCAATGTAACTGAATATCACCAAATTTTAAGGACACCTTATTTCAGACAGGTACATATGTAATTAGTCTATAAAACAGACACAACTTTTCACTAAATTATTCCATAATTTCAATTTACCAATCTAAAAAATTTATGTGTCCAATGCTTGATGATTTTATAAATATTGTTGAAATCTCTGTTAATATAGTTCTTAATTGATAACACATATTAACACATTGCTCCTCTTCTGCTTCCATGCAACTAGCATTGTTACTCTAATTACATCATTCACATCATTGTTACATAGAGAATAATACATACCCTTTTCCATATCACATCCTGTATCAGCCCAAGATACCAATACATGTATCAGCCAAAGGGCCGAAGGCCGGAGGGCTGATATTGGTCGAGGGCTGATAAAGGATGTGATATGGAAAAGGGTATGTTTTATTATGTTTATTATAGGATTAAACGTTCTTTTTTCAGAATTTATTGATGTGTAAACTCTGCCTTTTTACTCACAAACTGAATAAAAGTGCGAAGCACTTTTATAAAGTTTGTGAGTAAAAAGGCAGAGTTTACACATCGATAAATTCTGAAAAAAGAACGTTTAATTCTTATAATTCCAATTACGAATTTTTTAAAATTATTAAAATTATTTCCCTTTGAGGCCGCCATACAATCCGTTATTTTGTACGGCGTAGGAATACTTTATGCCGAAAGAAACGTATAGGCCTACAAGATGAATATCGATAAAATCCAACCTAAATTGTCAAAACAATCAATAAATAAACTTATAAAAACTCATTGATTGTTGTTTAAGTCAACAAATATCGTAAAAACGCGTATTCTCCAGAATAACTCGTGTTTGACCATGGCCATGTTGACATAAACAACAACGTCATAACGAAAGTAGCAGACCGACGACGTCCTCGATTTGCTCTGGTTCGTTCAAAGATTTAGGGAGAATATGGGATCTGTAGGATGTAAACATATGAATCTGATGCTAAAAAGGCAAGAGTCTGAGGTACGTTTCTTTTCCCTATCACAACCATACCAACTGAGCTGATATGGAACGTCGAGAAAATGACAGCATGATCAGCGATTTTTTAAAATTCACATTCGTGATCCGACAGTGACATAAACATGATATTACCGTCTGTCAGTCCTGTTTATCTCTTTTTCATTCATTCATTTGATCATTCATTCATTTTTTTATTTCAAGTTTCTTGTAATCATAATTTAACTATAAAACGGACTAGAAGTATCTGTTTTCATTGTTTTTACAACAGTCAAGAAAGTAGTTCTGATCGAAGAATTCATCGATGTGTAAACTTTTTCTTGAATTTGTTTTCGTCCAATCAAAACACAGGGAATCAATAAATAAAATTAAGATTGGAATTATTACATTATAACAATGTAATCAGAAATCGTGTCAACATTGTCGACATTGTTACATGTATGTTGACGATGACAATATGTAATACTAAGTAAACAATGTAAAAAGGTGTAAATACCATATCATGTGAAGTGTTAACACTGTCTACATTGCGATATTGACAATATGGAATAGAATAAATCTAATTTCTGTAGAAGTATGTAAATTTATTATCTTGACTGATATGCATGAGTGTACTTTTTCCTTTTGCCAATGTTGACCCAACATAGTCTTGCTATATGGGACGGAACTTTTTGTCTCTACGCAGATAAACAGATCCCGTGATTTTGCAATTTACAATTTGAATTTTGATGGTCAAATCATAAATTTATCGCCCTTTGTTAGAAATTAAGGTGTATGATAGAGAGGAGATTGTTCTGTTTAATTTACACTTATATTGGGAATATACTTTACGCAAAAAGAATGTTGCTTAGAGTAATTACAATTTTCATAAGTGAATTATTTAGCAATTTTTTAAAATGAAATTTAGTTCAGTTTGAAACTGCAAGTTATTGAATATGTTCTGGTCTTGAAGTATGTTGAACAAGAAAGTCATTTTATCATAAATCAAGTTCATGTACAATTGTATAATTGTAGAGATACATTAAAAATCATTGTATTGGGATGGCATTCTTAGATTTTCCTCTTAATTTGGCCTTATATAAGCATATTACAGTTAAACTTTGTTATCTCAAACACTAATATTTCAAATACCATAGACATGTCAAAATGATAAGAAAGCCACTTATTCTTTAAGTATTTTACACTTGACGTCTCGAGTCATCTGATATCTTGAAATTTTTTCATTGGTCCAATTAAGTTCAAGATAACACAATTATTCTGTATCGTATATTAGGTGTGAATTGAATGTTTTTAATTTTTTTTTTTTACCAAAACAAAGGTGACTGCAAGTGCAAGTGATTGTCCTACAGAATCTGTGGGCACAGTAAAAGAAGTTGAATCCTGTCCCCTAAACAAGAAAGAACATGACGAGGCTGCAAGGAATATGAACTGCTCCAGTCTGGTGTCACTTGAGTGTGCTGATCTGGAATATCATTGTGTAGTTAATGGTTTTGGGAATGGTACTGTTGAAGTATGTGCAAAAAGGATTGTGGTCCATGAAGGTTTGCAATATTTCATTCTACTGTTTAGGTAACTTGAATCACTAGGGTGGCTATAAATTACTACAATTACACATATCTGTTTCTGTCTGTTGTCTTGCATTGTTGGTTCTTATTTGAACAATTTCAATTTTATTTCCTGAAATCATTTTTGTATATCTTTATATGGAGTTCTTTAAAGGAGATAGTCTGAAAATGGCTGCCACCCCCAGCCTCTTTAATTTGGAAAACAAGAAGCTATAATAAAAATTTTTGAAAAGAATTAAAAAAGGAATTGTGGCACTGATGGCCCTCCATAGTTTTTTTTTCGTAATTAAGATTCGACAAACATGTAGACTTTACATTTTTAGAGTTGTGAATTGTCTTTGTGTTTCATTTAGAGTGCGAAAATATAAATTCTGGAAAACAATTAGTTTACAACATCAAAGATACACACATTCATGATTTGAACTTAAGGTATTCAATGTATAACGACCGTATTTTGTACCTAATAAATCAACGGCCCAATATTTTTAATCATGGTACATTGTAGCAATTTGAAGATGTTATCAAATGAAAATGCTCCACCAAAGGAATTTACAAAATTTTGATTATTGTCTAATTAATATCACTTTGAATTTTACATTGAAGTCTATGGGCAGCGCATGTTTTTATAAGATATTGTAAAAAGAAATTTGAATTTCAAAGAAATCTCTTGGTGAAAATATGCATAAACTCCCTCTTTATTAAAATATAAAATAAAATAAACTATTTACCACAGAAATTTTGTGAAATCAATACTTTTCTTCTTTTCATTAAGGGCAGATAACTCTTCAAAAACTTGAAATGTGCGAAATGACCTTCTCCTTACATGTTATCAGTCTTGGGAATTTGGTTCATTTCACTTTTATCGTTATCTAGCAATGTGCTTTTAACTAGTTTAAAATTATTTAAAATCAGTCAAAACCCCTTCGTTATACATTGAATACCTTAAAGTCAACACAGTTGTGTTTTCAGAACTTTATGCTTGGAAGTCTGATTTACCTACTTACATATGTAAATTATGAAACTGATACAATTACAAGTTTGGATTAACAAACTTACAATATTGCATTAACAATTTTGCAAGTCTGGATTTTTGAACCTCTGTAGGGAAAGGGGGGAAGTTACACAACTGAGCACTGTGGCCCATGGCCATGGACATAGGCTTCTAGTAACTGTAGAAATAACACCTTGTCAAAAAGGAAGAAATATTTTGACATTCAAATCCCTCTATCCATCCACCCCCCCCCCCCTTGAAACTGAGGGATGGGACTAAATCAAAATTAATGTTGTTTATTAATTGTTCATTTATCCTGGATATCAAGAAGTCAAACTGCTGACATGATTAAAGAAAACGTTGAACATTAATGCTGATAGGTAAATATAATAATGGGATTAATGTACAACTTGAAAATCACTTGAATTTTAAAATTTTTTTTGAAAAATATTTTTAATAGTCAGATAGACTGATAAAAAAAGATAAATAAAGATGAGAGAGAATAAACATTTATATGTACATACAATGGGGGATTAAAAGTTCATGAGCTGTAGCTCTCCAAAAAATTATTTTGACTGACCGGAGAGCTACAGTGCCACCCATTGAAAAAAAAACTGTATACATGTATTTATTGCACATAAAAAAGTGTGTCGTTTCTCTATTTATTTCTCCGTGTTTAAAAAATGTCATCTCAAAATAATACCAATTTTGTGTTCCTTTATAATTGTTGTTTATAGTTCTCCTGATCCTTGAATTGAGATCATCAAAAATTTTGTTTCATACACTGCCACTTTGGTTTGCAAAATAATTCGGTCCAATGCACTTCCTGCAGATGTCAACAAGGAGAGTACTTGATAGAGGAGTAAGAGTAAGGAAGCTTTTTAAATCTATCTTTTTCGTGATTGAGGTAAGAATTCGGAAGAAGTAATCCAGAATTAAGCAAAACTTTTTGTGACCTTAAATATATAGTTTTTACAATTGGTGGCACTGTAACTCTCTGGTCTGTCAATATATTTTAATGAGAGCTAGAGTTCTGCAGGTAGGGTATATTAATGGACACACACCTAAATTTAACTGTTATATTGAAGTTATTAAATCAGTTTGTGAACATTTGAACAGCCGTCATCAGATGTTCCTCTAATTTCAATGATATCTGGGATGCCCCAGCATGAGTATGGCTGGGCATATACATGTAGTGTTTGTCATGTCAGTTTTCTGTCCTTCCATCTGTCTTTTCATCACACTTTGCCATTAGCTCAGTTCAAGGTTCATTTCAAAGAAACTATCCAAGATATTTTCATCAAACTTCATATGCTGATAGATATTGATGAGAGATATACAAATGCATCAACATTTTTTTACGTCGACTTTATCTATGACCTTGATCTCACTTTTCTTGAATTAGCTGATACATACTGATGAGAGCTTTCAATTGCATCACTATTCAAGATATTCCAATCAAATTTCATACACTAATAAAAATTTTTATGTTTCATTACTACATTGTAATATACATGTACCATCGACGGGGCATTCATGTACTATGGACATATTTCTAGTTTTTAAGGGGGGACTTATGTCGTTCTACGTCAAAGCAGCGTTATGTGATGTCACAATAGCGACTTTTGTTTTTACCTGTTGACTGTGATATACCGGTAGGCATAACATTGTTAATAATCAATTATGTACACAATTTACAAAATGAAAATTTAATCATCATTAATAACAATTTGATATATGGAGTTTGTTAAAATTAGAATTTTCTTCCTTTGGTTGATAATCCATAGCAATTTCAGTTGTGAATAAATACCTCGATGATATGCTGATATATAAGTGCAAAAAGATAAGATAAAATTCAGCAAAGAAAGCGGCTTCATCGCGGAAATATCTTTAATTTTATGTGTACCATTAATTGTATTTTCTGGATAAAGCTAAGAAAAAAATTAATAATGTACTTGTTCCTATATTTGCTTATTGATTTATAGTACATGTAAATTTTATTGTGTAAAGTAATCCCTAGGTTCTAAAAAGTGTTTGTTGTTGACGGGGAAATGGGGGGGGGGGGGGGGGGGGGGGCAGAATGATTGGAATGAAGAGGTGAAGAAATAATCTGTTTAAATTGTTTCTAATCAAAACCAAATACTCTTTTTTCACAAAATAGTTTTATATTCAGATTTTTGTCAGTGCTTATTTACCTTCTTTTAGTGCAGAAAGGTAATTATTTATGACACATGTAAGAAAGAAACGTGGTGATACTTACATTGTGCTCTATTATAATTTTTCATGCGAGATGTATTACTATGAATTTGCCTTCAGTTTAAAGTAAATTAAATACCTAATGAAATTTAATATGATTAGACATTTTTGGTATTTTTTTAGAGCATATTGGGGTAGAACAATAATGTCTGAAAATAATTATATATTTTTAGCATTTCACACTGTTTTTGCACATGCTCCTGTGTAAAAATAAGCATAATTATAAAGGTATTTTTTTAATACCTAGAAATTAAGAACAAGTGGTCTGGAAAAAAATGTCAAAGTTTTGAAAATTTCACACAAAGAATCTTTGGACATAGTTTCTAAGTTCTATTGTCTTATGTTTAATAGTAGTGGATTCATAGTTGCTGATTTCTAAACTAACTATTTTTTCATCCTTTTTTCTTGTTTTCAATTTATAACTTTAATATTGACAAAATTGTTGTATTGTTATACCCAGGTGACTGTTAAGACCCTTTGGTTTCTAGTTAATAATCAAAATTATGTTCACAGTCAACAATAAATAATGAGCAAAACAACTTTATTTTCACTTTTTATCATTATTTAACAGTTCAATTTCATCCATTACTAACTTACGTTTGTGTAGGATATTGCGCTGAATTTAACACACGTGGAAAGACAACTCAAATAAGTTACAGTGTGAAACCAGAAAATCCACCCAGAGAATATTATTACTCAACGGAGGCATACAAATGTAAGGATTCGACAACATATAATAAATTCCTCGTAATTTTTTTTTAATAATACATGTAAGATGAAGTTTAAATTTCAGATTGTAAAAAAAGATTTAATCATATTCATAAATAAATCCAATCTCTTGTTTCCCACCTTCTTTCAGCAATATATGAAGCTTGTAGAAATCAACATTAAAATTTTTCATTTATGAATTATAAAAACTCTTCAAAAATGTAATCCAGATTTCTTTTGTTGAAAGATCCCGAGTGTTATAAGAGTATTCTGCCAATAACGAATATACCTACACTGCTATCTACAACTGAGAATACTAATGAGCTAGCAACAACACATATCCTTGAAAATGACACCAAGCCAATGGAAGAGGGAAAACCAAAGTACAGTATTTTGAATCAAATTTTTTTATTATAAATGTATGAGTAGATCTCAACCAAACTGACACATAAAATACCTCGATAAAGAACTTTATTCAATTTAAGGTCCATTTCCTCTTCCAAGTGATATTTTTCATGGAAAAAAGGCAAACTTAAGCAATCATTATGTTAGCTGTATCTTTGAAAATTTTATGTTGCATGTAAAATGTGCTTTTATGATTAATTTGTATGTAATTTAAACCCTTATTTCCAAAAAGCCCATAATAAAGTTTAAAAATGTTTCAGAAGAAATATTTCTTTTCAACCGAATATACAGTTTTATATAAGAAATCATTATTGCACAGGACGAAAATAATTCAATTTTGTTTCAATCAATGCTAATAAAAAATTTTCCATCGCAAATATGAACAACAGAAGTTTAAAAAATGATTTATTTTTCTGTCATTAAATTACTTATTCACAATTTTGCAATAAAATTTTCCGATGTCAAACATGCAGCTCATATTGCTTCAAGGTAAAGAGGTGTAATTAAAACTCTTCTTAAGAACAATGTGATCAGTAGAGATCATTAAACTATGCGTAAGTTCCCCTGAATATAAAGTGCAATTTAATATATTGAAATCACCAGTACCTTAGTAGGGTGGTGACAACAATAGGAAATCAGATTTACAAAGAAATATCGAGGGAATTCTTTTCAAATCAATTGTCTGAATTTCAGCATGGCCAAGGTAACTTGAATGTAATGCGGTGATTAAATCCATTGTTTTTTTTTAAGTTTAATATATTTGCATCACATAATCAGTCTTTCATTTGCTCACATACCCTTTCCCCGTTCTTTCTGAAGACATATTCTTTTCCTTAATCTTTCAGTTTGTACTATATGTACATTTAAGATCTTGCTCATAATTCTTGTGTTTCTATATGAATTGCATATTTGTAACTGTTCATGGTAACATAACTAAGGAGTGAAATTGCAATTTTTTAGTAACAATTACACTTGGGTGGCAGCAGCAGTTGTTGGTGTAATTCTACCTTGTGTCACTGTTGCTGTTCTTTTCCTGCTTTGCAACAGATTGCATTGCAGAGGTAAGTTTAATTCAGTGATTTTTCAGAGGAATGTAGATATGAATTCCTGTTTTCAAAACTTTCCTTTTTCAAAAAAGGAGTATTTCTTCTTTTAAACCTCTAAGTTTTATGCATACATGTGCATGTGTTACTGATATTTATGTCCTCTGACAAAGAAGGGAGGGCATATTACTTAGGTGCTGTCTGTAAGTCAGTCTGTCTGTTGATCCAACTGTCAGTTGGTCTGTAGGTCAATCCACCAAGAGTTTTCAATTATTTTCTTCTCAGAGGAAGCAACAAAGAAAGTTAGGATTAAATAATCATTGTTTAAGTTCACATGTCTCTTAAAACTACTTGACAATATTGAAAAAAGAAAAAAAAAACTACTTTGGTTACATATACTTGGATCAAAACTGAATGCATGACCATGTGGACTTTGTCTGCAAATCTTTCAGGTGCAAGAGAAAACGTGGAAGGGGAAATGGAAGGAAGCAAAACAGATCCATTATTAAATGGTATGCTTCCTTTTTTATTAGGTATAATTTGTACATGTAATTTTAAGTCTTCATGTGACAAACATTGAAAATAAAGTAATCATTTTGTCTTATTTGTTTACTGTCACTGGATTATCTAAAGATTATTTATTTATTTTTTCTACGCAGCATTGTTAAGGCTTGAATTAGGGGGCGGGGCCTAATTTATACGGGAAAAGTTAACTGTGACGTCACACAAAAATATGACTTTTATATATTTCTCATAATACCTGAAAATGAAATTATTTGCAACTTTTAACATTATTAGCATAATAAACAACAATAAAACCTATCAATGCATTAAAAAACGTTGCTAGGTAAATCCCGTGTAGCTAGTTTTAAACAAAGCACTGATTGCGATGAACTTGTATATATGACTTCATTTTGGTAAACATGACGTATTTCATGTACTGTGAGAGGCAGATTGTGGAATTTTTTAACAATGAAAAATGCGTTTTATAATAAAACGGAATATTATTTACAGGTTTTAAATAGTCGATTAATACCAATGTAGATCCTTTGTTTAGTGCGATTATTAATAAACTTTCAAGAGAATGTATTTTATTAATTATGTCGTGTTTTTATGTACAGGTTACGTATATTTTACATCGAGATGCACCATAAAATCGTACTTTCGCAAGGGCATACACTGCATAGATCTTAATCATTTTTTGAATATAGATAAAGGATATTATCCTTAACTGGATAAGTGCTGCTGCTTTCTTTAAATCGAAGGCGTGATTTCATAAGTACACAAAATATTTGGTAAAAGTCTAATGCTTTTTGACATTGGCCTATTTACTTTAAAATTTATCTATTAAAACGCGAATTCTATTCAAAGCAGCAGCACTTTTCAGAAACTACAAAGTGTGCAGAAACATTTAATAGCTTGAATTTTCAATTTCAACTAGGGTATGCCCTTGCGATATTGAAATTTGTTAATGACCTATATTCAGTACACGTACTATGCATTCATCACGTGACTGTCCATCGATGGGATTAAACTTCATACAGTACAGAGTGGGTAATACTATGCTATTTCCATATGTATTAACGTTCTGTGATAATAAAACAGCTTAATTGAAATAAATTTAATTTAAAATAATACCCCCCTTTTTGTACATATATTTTCCGTTGATTTCTCATAGTAGGCCTTAAGGGGAGACAGGACACACGTCACATGACTATAAAGATATATTACGTCATAATCGGTGATGATATACATGTTAAACGTTGTTAAATTCAACAGTTCTTGTGTAATTTTATTCTAAAATTGTTTCTTAAACATTTAATTTTAAAAATTATTAATAAAATTTAAAAAATCTTTCCATCATTTAGATATTGTGAAGTTGCCCAATCCATACATTTGTTTCTCTTTACCCTGCAGTCTGACGTCAGTGACGTCATAGACGTAGTGTTTGAATTCTCAGTGCAGCGAGATCAAGTACAAACACCCATCATGATAAATTTTATTTCATAATAAACAGGTCACAGTCAATGTATCGTGATAAATTTCTGAAGCACATTTTTTAATACTAATACTTTTTCGTGTTTAGTAGCAGAGATTCTATCTGTTTAGATAATTTTGAATGTTTATGTTTTCGTGTGACGTCACAATTGATTTCCCGCACTCGGAAAATACAAACGTGAAGCGTTTTTTTCATGCTTACGTCTTATTCAACGATGTCCTGTGCGATATTGAGGTAAGCTTCACCTTGTGATATTTATGCAGTAAATAATTACGATGAAGGGCTGATATTCAATCATAAAATTAAAAATATTTATTGACAGAATTTTTTCCTAATGGGGTTTTTGACGTTGAAGCTGCCTTGAAAAATGTAGAAATTATCCCACCCAAATGCTATATAAAATACAAACAATTGCTTTCAGATAATTTAAACACTATGAATATACTGAAATATTTGAGTATGTAGTGTTATCTATCATATTTATCGTTTGTGCGTAAAAATTCGCATTACGGACTCCGTTATGGGCCCGTAAACATGAAGTATCTAAACTCCATACAAACTCTAAACAGGGCGGTATTTGTGGGTCGATATCTTTTAAATAAGTCAAGAAATCCCATCACAGGACCGTTTTAAAATGTTAAGTACATATTAAATTAGTAATATAAAAAAAATGAAAAAAATTCATTGACAGGAATTTTTTCAGCGAAAGGTCCTGTTCCTCCTTAACAGTGCTGCGTATTTTTCTTATTGAATATTATACAGTTATGGAATGGGTATGAGAGAAATAGCAAATTTATGGTTCCCCGAGGGAGAAAACTATTTCCCGAGGCGGCGAAGCCGACGAGGGAAATAGTTTCCTGCCGAGGGGAACCATAAATTTGCTATTTCTCGAGTTCACATTCCATAACTGTTTTATTATACCGAAACAATCATAGGCAATTTAATTTTTTTTAACCAGATATTCCGACATTTTCAAGATAAATTGCAGAAGCATAATTAAATGTTAAACAGACTGTATGATAAGTGATGCATCGTGTCCTAAAACAATTCAATAATTTTCCAATTACAAAAGTTTTTTCACTGACATTTCGAAGAATTATCGCATGTCGAAATGTTTTGACGTCATAGTTACATTGCTAATAACATGACGTCACAGACTCGAGATTCCTTGAACGCTCCGCCCACTGAACACTCTGATTGGTCAAAATTACTAATAAATATTCATTAGGGAGTAGTCCCAGGGAGTAGCTCTGATTTTCCAGGGAGTAGCTCTGAGTTTTCAGGGAGTAGTCTCCAGATGAGGGAAATTGTCTCTTCTCGGGGAAATAGATGGTTTTATGGTATTACTTTTATATAGAGTAATTACAGTAAAGGTATAATAATATTCATTGTTTTCCATTTAAATTCATATATACCATCAGATCATTAACTGAAGTAAAATTTTAATTTGTTGCATTAAATTTTTTTTATAAAAATAGAGATAGCTTTTGTGAAATTAATACTTTAGTCCAACTAAGCTGACATCCTTTTTGTAAAACTTTTTTAAATTTAATATCCTTTTGTACTTAATATGTACATTTATCTTTTAACGTTTCACATTTTCTAACTGTTTGATCTCAAGTGTGACCGAGATAGATTTTGACAAAGGCAAGGTGAAATATTGGGTAGAGTAGATTCTTAATTAACTGTTAAAATAAAGAATCAAGCCTTATTACGAAGGGGACATAGTCAAGAGAAGACAAAATTATGGTGGGTTCATTAAAATACCCTTCCCAGGAAACCACTGGGTCAAAAGAGTGTAAGCATGTTTAGGCTTTCTTATGTTGATTCCAAACAATTCTAATCTTTGCCACTTTGGATAGAGTTTGATCACCGTGGGGGTCGCATTTATTGATTGCAATAGACAGGAAAAAAACCTAAGAAATCTTTATTTTCTCAAGAACTAATTAATTAGAAAAAAAATAAAATGCAAAATGACCCTGAAGTAGCATACAAGTGTATTTATTTAATACATCAAGGCCTTTGGGGTAAGTCTGTATTAATCATATGCCAAAATATATATACATACATATTTATATTGAAGAATCTATCAAATCTGGCAAATAGTTTTTCTGTGAAAGATGGAAATCTTATCAAAAGATTATTTGATCTGTTTTGATTTAAAACTTATCAATAATGATATATCGTAAAGGAGATAGCACATCGTTAATTACTATTACAATAGACATTGGCAACTACATTTCAAATTTTTAATTAGTTTAACAGTCATAAAAATTTCATTTGAAGTCTATTTTATAATGACAGTGAGACAAGAATTTGTTTACACAACACTCAAGTACTTGCCACTTTGTCATAACTGCACAATTTGTTTTAACAAAATTGTACATAAAAATTAATTGAGGTACCATTAAATTAAGAAACTAGTACGATTTATATGCATAACACAATCCAAAAATAAAAGGGAAAATCAAAATTCCCTTTTTTGGACCCAAGGTTTACAATCTGAAATCATTTTGGTCTTAAAATCTTTATATGTGTCTTCACAAGTTCCCTTTTTGAAGATTTTGTTAAATATTTGAGGAACGTTCCTCTTTCTACACTTCAGATGCATTTGTTATGACCAGAGATTTGAGGAACGTTCCTCTCTCTGAACTTCAGATGCATTTGTTATGACCAGAGATTTGAGGAACGTTCCTCTCTCAGAACTTCAGATGCATTTGTTATGAGCAGAGATTTGAGGAACGTTCCTCTCTCTGAACTTCAGATGCATTTGTTATGAGCAGAGATTTGAGGAACGTTCCTCTCTCTGAACTTCTGGTGTATTTGTTATGAGCAGAGATTTGAGGAACGTTCCTCTCTCTGAACTTCAGGTGCATTTGTTATGACCTGAGATTTGAGGAAAGTTCCTCTCTCTGAACTTCTGGTGTATTTGTTATGACCAGACGTTTGAGGAACGTTCCTCTCTCTGAACTTCAGATGGATTTGTTATGACCAGAGATTTGAGGAACGTTCCTCTCTCTGAACTTCTGGTGTATTTGTTATGACCAGACATTTGAGGAACGTTCCTCTCTCTGAACTTCAGATGCATTTGTTATGACCAGAGATTTGAGGAACATTCCTCTCTCTAAACTAAGATGCATTTATTATCACCAGAGATTTGAGGAACGTTCCTCTCTCTGAACTTCTTGTGCATTTGGTATGACCAGAGATTTGAGGAACGTTCCTCTCTCTGAACTTCAGATGCATTTGTTATGAGCAGAGATTTGAAGAAAGCTGTACACCCAGGTACTCCCTAACGTAAAAGTGTAGATAATCCTGTTGATTTCATAAAGTCAAATTTCAAGGTTGAGACTATTCTGACACGGAAAAATAATGTCTGCTTAAAATTTGGGGAACCCTTTGCTTTACAGACATCAAACTTAGTATACTGGTACTCCCAAAGGAATAAAGACCACTACTGATTTTGGGTTACAAGGTGAAAGCACAAGGCTCAAACTGATCTAGAAATAGAAA